TCTCTCATATGTCCCTTTCTCTCCCCTCACATAGCCACCACCCTAATTCTGGACCTTATCAGCTCCCACCTGGGCCATTTCAATAGTGTTGTAACTGGTGTCCCTACCTTGTCTCTCCCAGATCCAATCTATCCCTCACTCAGCTGCCAAAATAATTTTTCTAAACATAGGTCTGACCATGTTACCTCCTCCCCTCTCATGGCTTCCTCTCCCTCTCCCCTCTCAGTTGAGAACCGTGCCTTATATTTTACAGAAAAAAAACCGAGGCCATTCACCCTGAGTTCCGTCTTCTTCCCTCTTCCTCATCTCATATCACTCAGATGCCTTCTACCACTATCTCCTCCTTCACCCCCATTTTACATGAAGAGGTGGCCCTACTCCTTACCAAGGCAAACCCCTCTACTTACACAAGTAATCCCACCCCTTCTGTCATCTCCACTCTCTTCCTTATCTTCTACCTGTCCCTGTCTACTGGCTCCTTCCCTCCTGCCTACAAACATGCCCATGTCTCTTTTATCCTCAAAGAGCCCTCACTTGATCTTTCCATCCTCAGTAACCAATATCCTATATCTCTTCTGCCCTTTGTGGCTACACTCCTCGAGAAGGCCCATTTCAATAGATGCCTCCACTTTCTTCTCACTTTTTTCTTTGCCCCCCTACAATCTGGCTTCCAACCTCACCATTTCACTAAAACTTCCCCTTCAAAGTTACCAGTGATGTCTGTAACTGCTAAATCCAATGGCCTTTTCTCAGTTCTTATTATTCTTGACCTCTCTGTGGCCTTTGATATTGTAGACCACCCTCTTCTCTTTCATACTCACTTTCCTCTATGTTTTTGGGACACTATTATCTCATAGTTCTCTTCCTCCCTATCAAACCACTCCTTGGTCTTCTTTGCTGGATCCCCTCTGGGCCATGCTGTCTAACCACTGGTGTTCCTCAGAGCTCTGTCTTGGGCCATCTTCTCCTCTCTCTATACTACTTCACTTGGTGATCCCATCAGCTCCCATGGATTTAATTACCATCTCCATGCTAAGGATTCTGAAATCTACCTATTCTGCCCTAACCTCTCTGCTGACCTCCAATCTCCCACTTCCAACTGCCTTTCAGGTATTTTGAACTGGATGTCCAGCAGACATCTTAAACTCAACATGTCCAAAACTAATCTCATTATCTTTCCCCCTAAATACTACCCCCTTCCAAACTTCTTTATTATTGTAGAGGTCAATACAATCCTCCTGGTCCATCATACTCTAAACCTAGGTGTCATCCTCAATTCCTCACTATCTCTCAACCTCCATATCTAATATGTTGACAAGACCTATCAATTTCACCTTTGCCATATCTCTCAAATATACCTATTTCTCTCCTCTGATACTATCACCACTCCACTGCTACAAGGTCTGCCTGCCTCAAGCCTCTTCCCACTCTAATTCATCCTCCATTCAGCCACAAAAGTGATTTTCCTAAAGCACAGGTCAGACCATGTCATCCCCTACTCAGTAAACTCCAGGAGATCCTCTATCACCTCCAGGATTAAATGCAAAATCTTCTGTTTGGTGTTCAAAGCCCTTCATAACCTACTCCTCCTCCCCTCCTCCCCCATCTATCTTATACCTTACTTCACAACATGTATTCTTCAATCCAGTGACACTGGCCTCCTTGCTATTTCTCAAATAATACATTCCATCTCTCACTCTGGGCATTTTCTCTGGCTGTCCTCCATGCCTTGGAATGCTCTTCCTCTTCAACTCTTTCCACTGGCTTCTCTGGTTTCCTTCCAGTGCCCTCTAAAATCCCACCTTCTACAGGCAGTCTTTCCCAATCCCTCTAATTTTAGTGCTTTCCCTCTGTTAATTATTTCCTATTTATCCTGTATATAGCTTGTTTGTACATATTTGCCTGTTATTTCCCCCATTAGAGTGTGAACTCCTTGAGGGCAGGGACAGTCTTTTGGCTCTTTTTGTATCCTCAGAGTTTTGCACAATTCCTGGCACATAGAGGGCACTTAACCAATGCCTGTTGACCATTATTTCAGAATACCTTTCACTTAGTCTTTATTTATCCTGTATATACCTAGTTATTTACATGCTGTTCTTTAGGGGCACCAATGGTCCTTTCCCCAGAATTTGGCACAATGCCTGGCACATAATAAGCACTTAATACATATTTGTTAAACAACTATTGACTGACCTAACTCTACTCCCCTCAACTCCCACCTTCCTCCGGCATCATTAAGATGAAAGCAAGAGCATTAACCCTGAACAAAAGGCCTTCTCCATGGTATAGTGAAAAAGGTACTGGCTCCGAGGTCAGAGTACCTATGCTCAAATCCCTCTTCTGCTGCTTACCACCTCTGTGACCTTGGGCAAGTCACACAACTCTGAGCCTCAGCTTCTTCCTCTGTAAAATAAAGGTGGTTGTCCTTGAAAGCCCGAGATCCCTACAGGGTCTGGGTCTATGAAGCTCTGACCTTTGTGTGTTCCCCTTGAACCATCTGATCACACAACCCTACAGAATTGTCCTCTTCAACAATTCTGCTGTTGTTCCTGCTTCCCTCTCCATGATTAAGAAGGCCACAGAACTGGAGTTACATGTAGGTTCAGTCCAAGCATTTGGGACCCAATAACCAGATACTTACTAACCCAGATACTGACTCTGTTGTCACTATCTCCAGGCCACTTATATATGGAGAAGGAATGCCCAAACTGACTTTTACCCTCTATAATCCTGAATAGCAAGACGCTGATGAATTGCCAGTCCTATGGAAAGCAAACTCCTACTTCTTGCTCCCCTAATCCCTGTCTTGGGCTAAAAGTACAGCCTTTCTCCTGTTATCACTCTTCACGTTCTCACCTCATTCAAGTTACCTCTATCGTCCCCAAGCTTTTGCTTGTCTTTCCACTTTACCCTATGGAACCTTCTATCACTAACATATTCTCCTTTATTCTAGATCTCTTCTTTTCACATTCTTTCCATTTTATTATTCTCACAATTTTTTTCTGCTTGCCCTGAACACATAGGCACTAGGGAGGGTATGAATACCTATGCTGATGTTTTTATTTATTTTACTATACAAGGTACCCACTCATCATCTCATAACTAAGCAAAGTAATTCCTCTGCCTCATTATAGTAGTCCTAAATAACAGTACTCTCTCAAATAATTGCTAATTGTCCCAATAAAACAACCTCAAACAGTACTACTCACTAATCACTGTACTGCTTCTTCCTCTGCATGGGCTCTCTGCCAGTAGCATGGACCGTAATACAGCCTGCCAGCCAGCTTGGAGGTAAGGGAACGTGACATAAGAGGCAAAAGACAGCTTGTCATGGTTCCACCCTTGATTTGCTTTTCATTTCTCCCTGGATTATCTATATAGAAATTAATTAGGGCTCTTAAGGGAGAGGCGCATTAATGTTTCTAGGAAGTATTTCCCTATATGGTTACTTAAAAGCTTCCTTGTGATGGGGATGTAGCCTATTAATAACAGCATGTGTAGTTCTTCTCAACCTGATTATCTGTTAAGTTATGATTTAGGGGGAAAGATAATTAGTTCAGTTTTGGACATGTTGAGTTTAAGATGTTTACTGGAAATCTGGTGAGAGATGTATGAAAGAGAGTTGGAAATGTGAGACTGGAAGTCAGCAGAGAGGTTGGGGCAGGTAAGGAATTGAGATTAGGAAAATGGGGAAATAGCCCGAGAGGGGGTACAATACTGACATAAACAAAAATTGAGGTATCTATCCTTTAAGGGACTTATTTAAACTCACTCTTTTACATGAATAACTTTGAATGAATATGAACAATGAATAAAAACAAATCTAATGTAAAATTCTCGAAGGCAGAAACTGTTTCATTTTGGTCTTTATCTTTTGGAGTCAAGAAGACCTGGGTTGAAGTCTCTCCAATGACATATACTGAATGTGTGACCCTGGATAAGTCACTTAAAGCAGTCCAAGCCCCTACTCTCCGAGACCATATATCAATATAATCAAACATCTGGTTCAAAAAACATATTCCTAGAACCTGGTACAGTGTTTGACTTATAACGGGCACTTAAATGATTAAGTTGCTTAAGTGATGAAGAAACCCACAACTGTAGACTTGACTCTGGCTTTGGAGGCCTGAGCTAGAGACGCCAATATCTGGCCTGCTTCTACCCCTCGACGATTGCTCCGAGAGTCCTGAGGGACCCTCATCCAGGGGGTCCTGCAAGGCCAGGATAGAGCCAGTGTCATGAGCCTGATGAGCAGATTTTCTTAAAAGGCCCTAAATCGTTGCCAGTTCTGATCATGATGCGGTCCCTCCAGTTCCAGGAGAGTTATGGGTCTCCGGGGGGTGGGACTGAAGTCAGGGGAGGGGCTTGTGTATTTAAGGTCAATTTTTTTGAACCTATAGAAATTTCCCTCCAATTCCGAACCAGCCCCTTGTTGACGAATCTGCTGCCCCTCTCATAGGACTTAGGCCTTGTAAAGCATCGAGAGCACTGAAGCAAAGAAGAAATGAGCCTGAATTTATCTGATATTAGATCACCGTAAATTCCACGTAAATTCCCTTCTTCAGTCATTCCAGGGCACGGTTTAGGGCGAATCTGCTGCTCGCGAGTGGGGCCCGCGGCCAGGCGGCGTCCATTTTTGTTTTGCGGCCGTGCGCTCTCACAGTAACTTCGGGAAAGAGGATTCCCTCCTCCCCTCGGAAGGGGCGGAGCCTATAGGGGAGGATGGGCGGGACCACGGCACCGTGATGATTCAAATAGTCCAACAGGCGAGACGCCTCGGGCGGGTGCCGCCAATGGGTGGGAGGGTAGGGGGAGGGGTGCGGGAGACTTAGTGGGGTAGGTTGCACGGCGGCTTTGGCGCATTTTCGGCTGGTTTGATTCATCCATTTTGGAGAGACGGGGGAGCGGGGGGCTCGGCAGATCCCGGGGGCCTGGATCCAGTAGCGGCGGAGCCTGAGAAGCTAACGGCCCGGGCCTCGGCGGCCAAAGCAGCTCCGGGGGGGAGGGGCGCCCAGCGCGGGGGGGGGGGGGGGGCCTGGTCTCGGCTTCACTGGAGGTCCGGTTTCGGCTGCGAACATGTCCCGGCCCGTCAGGTGAGTGCGCAGGGAGAGGCCGTTGTGGAAGCCAGGGTGCGGCGGTGGTAGTGGGCTAGGGAAGAATAGGAGGAGAGCGGATTTGGCGGGGGCGAGTGTATATGGGAGGGTAATCTTGCGGGTTAGAGCTGGGCCGCTCTCTTGCTGCGCGCCGCCGCTTCCCTCCGGGGGCTGGCGCGCGCTTCTGCATGGGGGAGGGGCGGGGGCTAGCTGGCGCGCGGCGATGCCTGCGGGGGGGGAGGCGGCGGCGCGCACGCGCGTGCCCCGGTATCTACCCCTCCCGCCCCAGTCGCGCGCGGCGCGGGTTCTCTCTTCTGCGGCTTGGAGGGGCGGGGGCTCCCTTGCGCGAGCGAGCGTCGCCGCCGCTGCCGTGTGGGACGAATTGCTCTGAGTGCCGAGCCCTGAGGGAGGTGGGGGTGGGGGTGGGGGGTGGGGGGCGGGAGTAGGAAGCTAGCTCCCCCACCAAGCCCCACCCCCTTGGGTGGCTGCCTCGGAGCCTGGAGTGGAAGGAGAGGGCGGGAGTGTGACTGGTGGAGTCCTTTCCCGCCCCCGCCCCACGCCGGCCTTCAGCTCCCGTCGTCCGACGCCAGGCGTGGGGGGACTTCGTCGTCTTAAGCCATGTCCTCGCCGTGGGGGCGTCGCCTTGGCTTGTTCCCTTGTCCCACCTCCGAGCTTGCTCGAAGGCCGCGCCCACCGCGCGGGGGCGGGAGGGACCCAATCTGCGTTTTTCTTGTAGGCCCCCAAATGACAGTCCTGGGCGGGAGGCGCGGCCCTGGGCCGTCCCCTTAGTCTTTGACTCCTGCTTGTTGGCGGAGAGAGGCGTAGGCCGAGCTTGGCCCCGACTCCCCTCCCTCTGCTCCTCCCCTCCCCCTCCCCAGGGGTGAGCATGTGTCGGAATCGGTCCCGCCCCCTTTCCCCGAATAGCTTGGGAGCTGGTAAACTCAGTAACCCATCAGGCCCCACGCTTTCCCAGAATTTCAGCAAGTTTACTGTTCTCCAGTAGATGGTAGAATTGCCCTTTCGACCCTTGTCACTTCGTGGGGCGTGTGCCACTTTTAGAGGGGAGTGGCTTTGTCAAAACTAATGGGAGCCTGAATAGAAGAGATTGGAAATGAAAGCTTGGTCTTTAGCTGTGCTGCTGACAATTTTAAGTGAGGAACTGGTGTTTCGAGCAATGTTCTTCGTGTGGTGGGAGGGGACGGTGTCTCTCCCTGCTGCCTACCATTTTTTATTCTACATTTTATGGATAGAGGCCTTTTGCCACCCAGGTGGCAACAGGAATGGGTTTTCTTAAGACACTACCTCTCTATCATCCTATCCAAGTCATTGCTGGCCTCCCTACTCCCCAGTCGCCAAACAGCGTTTCCAAAAAGTGGTAATGTATATTTTTAGACTTTAGTATTGAATGACATTGGAGGGTGGGAGAGGAAATTAATTATATAAATTCATCAGTGCTCTTCTCTTTACTCCCTAGACCCTCCTCTCTTTCCCTCTTCCTTGATGCTGATGAGCTGTAACAGATTCCCGGTGAAGAAAACTGAAATGCAGTTCCTACCAAATTGTCTCTCCTGCCTACTATCAAATGCAAGATATTTTTGATAATCTAAATCAGTCAGTATCTTTGTTTTAGCTGGGTTATATATTTTGTTATGTCCTGGAAGCACTTACTACAGCTTCAAATGATCAGTATTTGCTTATGAATTTTAAGTTTTGTATTCCTAAGAAATTTAATTATGTTTTTAGTGACCATTTCGTATTTTTACCTGCCTGGATTTGTTCTCCCAAATTTAGATATTGGAACCAGAGCAGAACTTTATTGCTCAAGAAGTTGGATTTTGCTTCCATCACATGAGGGTAAATATACGGAGCCCAGCTTAAACATCAAATTTCTCTAGGTATAGGTGATACCTGCATCAGTTTTTCATTGTGCATTATAGAGATGTAACTGATTTTTGCCTTTTTTATTTGGCCTTAGCTGAACTTTTAACAGGCTTGTTTATGTTGTCCGTTGGATTTTTTTAGTGTGTCACCTGCAGATTTATAAATTCAAAAATCATTCAATAAAAGAAGAATTTAGAGGCTAAGGACTCATTACCTTGGGGGGGGGGTGTTGTTGTTGTTTTTCCCCCAATAAATGTCTAGAAGTTATGAGCAACAACAAACTGAGAGGTAGAGTGTTCCTTGATTTTTCTTTCCCCCCAAGAGTCTTGCCCTCACAAAGGAGTCTTTTCCTTTCAAGGTATAATTAGCCAGAGTGCAGATAGGTAAATTTAGTTTTGTTCAGCAATGAACAATATTGACAACTTTGTTCTCATTAGGTAAAAATCAATCTTTTATTATGGCCAACCCTGTGCTGCAAAACCATATAATGATGGAATTAGTGGTTTTCTCCCCTTCGTTGAAATTTTAATGGTGTTGTCACTATGGTATGCTGTAATAAATTCTGTGATTTTTGTGTCTTTCATTTAGATCTTAAGTCTTACTAATTCCTTAGCTTCTCTATTAATGTTAAATAAAGTAGTTAGAAAATCAGAAATGTAATAAAGAAGTGCTTACTCTGGCTTCCATTGAATTCAGTGATTGTTGGTAGAAAGTTGTTGTCTTGTCCGACTCTGTGTCCCCATGGGTCATGGTGTCCATGTTTTTCTTAGCAAGGATACTAAAGTGGTTTGCCATTTTCTTCTCCAGTGGAAGGCAAGCAGAGGTTAAGTGACTTGCCTAGGATCACATAGCTAGTATGTTTCTAAGGCCACATTTGAACTCAGGTCTTCCTGACTCCAGGCCCAACCCTCTATCCATAGAGCCATCTAGATGCCTCAAAGTACTTTGTTGCAGTTAACTCCTGGATGCTTGGGGGTTTTGAAAAGGAGAGAATGTCATTATAGCTTGTTAATGCTCTTAACCAATATGTTCTTTGATGCTTCTATATATCGTACATTTTTAAGAAGTCTGAGTATCTCACAAAAACTAGTATTTTAGGACCCATACTTTCATAGCTCCTAGCATAGCCCATGAACATTTTTAAGTGCCTTTTTCTTGCGTTCATTTGCAAGTTGTAGAATCTTCAGGCTCATCTAGACCAACCCTTTTATCTTACGTAAGAGGAGACTGAAGCCCAGAGAGGCTATGGAGTTGGCTTGTGGTCATAGAGCTGGTTGGTGGTAGAATTTGGATTAGAATCCAGGTTTTTCAGTCTGATCCTTTTCTCATTCTGCTTCCTAATTATCAAAGAATGTTTGTTTCAATATTTAGAAACAATTCTTTCTGTTTTAAATTCATTATCTGATTTCACCGTCACAAAAACCCTGTGAGATAGAAGTGGTATTAATCTGTTTTTAACAAATAAGGAAGCTGAGGTAGAGAAGTTCCATGATTTGTTTGGACTAGAAAAATCTTGGTCTTAGGACTCTCAATGTGGTGCTGTTTGTAATGGTGGGGCTCCTTGTTAAAGGAACACCAACCAATCTATTTGTCCTTTTCTATGTAGCACGATATCACAGGTCTGCCAGACTTGGTAGTTTCAGCTGTACCCCTTGGACCTGAGAGCTTAAGATTATAAGGGAGCTTTTACTGTGCTCTGGCTTAAATTTAAAACTTTGAAATTCAGTTTTGTGAAAAAATTTAGAAATTACTGACTTTACCATATTTTACCCTTGTTTTATATATGATTTTTAGGAAAATAATTCAAAATTTTCTTCCAATTCTTAATTGCTCCTTCAAAAGCAAGAATTTTGGTTAGGACATAATCTAAAATAAAACTCCAACATATTCTTCCTAATGCAGAAACTAGCTTTTGAAACCATCTCTGAGTGAAAGCCAAAGGAAAAAGGGAAGTTTGCTGAAGCTTGCAAATTTAAGGTACTGTAATGGAATTTATTATGTTGAACATTCACAGTAAAATGTTCTATAGGTGTTTATCTCCAGATATGAGTGACACTCTGATACTCCAGTATAGTTTTAAATCTTAGATTTATTTGAAAGATTCATACCGAAGTTATTTCATAAATGGGCAATAGATTGTTTCCTCATACTTACATTTCTGTACCCCAGCCTCACGTTATCTTTCTTTTCTTTGAAAACAACATACATACAAAAGGGAAAATGTCTTGAGCCCTATTATCATTTAAGTGCAAATTTTATTCAGGTAGGACTTGTCCAAAAAAAATTCTAGTCATTCAAGGTCATAGTCTGATGTTTAAGAAACAGGCATTTTCTCTCTTGTAATCCACTTACCCCAAAGTAATAATTTTTAAAATTTTAAATGAGCCATAGGGCAAGTTAATGTTAGAACATTTTGTAATTTCTGTGTATTGAAATGCAGTGCAAGTATGGCATGTTCAGTCTTAATTTTCTTGTTTTTTTCATTGTGAGAAGGGGAAAATAATACATTTTGAAGATAGTATTTGCAGTTTACACCGATGTCAAGTGCTAGTTAATGGGTATCTTGAGGAATTAACAGAGGTCAGCTGATATTACTTAAACTGTATTTTGATGAGCCATTATCGGTATTGAGTACATTCTTTAGACATAGGTACTGGCTCTAACACAAAATGTTTTAGGAAAACCTGGCCCATTTAATATATAAATGGCTTATTTAATTTATTCAGCTTGGTTTTTAAAATTATACTTACTGTCCTATACCCTTCTAGGCATCAGTTCCTTCAGATATAAATTGAGGACGTTGATGTAGATGGCCTTTTTTGAGTTGGTTGTATTGGGCAGCTTTAATGTTTTTATTCTTGTTTACCATGTCATACTTGTTGTTATTTAAAAAAAGTTTGGCTTGGAATTTTTTTGTTTTGAGGGAAGAGAGCCAAAAGGTTCCTAGAAGACATAGGAAAATATTAGGGAGAGAAAATCTAAGAGACATGAGGAAAATGTGCCTCACCAGAAGAAAGTAGTTAGGGTTTAAAACATTAGAATTAGTGGCTTATATTTAATGTTTGAGCTGCAAAATCTAAATAACAAATGCAATTTATATTGCATTCTTAATGTTTGCAAAAGATCATATGTTATCTCATCAAGTCCCTCAACTCTGTGAGGTGGGTGCAATAGGTAGTGTTGTCTTCATTATACAGATGGGAAAATAGAAGTCAGAGAGAGGTTAAGCGACTTGCCTGTGGTCACACAGCTAGTAAGTAGGTTGGAATTTGAGTTCAGATCTTCTTGACTTCCAAGTTCAAAATCCAGTGAGGGTACTTATAAACAATTGTAGTAAATGACAGTCTTAACATTTAAAAACATTATTCTTGATTTTTAAAAATTGCTATCTTTTGTTCTTACACCATTTTCATTCCCAACTGTATCCTTCCTTTCTCTAATGACAAAGAATAAAAAAGGTGGTGTGGTAAAACTGACATATATCGCCTAAGAAAATATGTGCCTTCCTTTATATTTTCCCCTTACTCTTCTCTCTCCCTCCAAAGAAAAGGGGGGGGGAGGGGAGGTGCATTTTTTTCATCTCTTCCTGAAATGTAAGCTTCGTTACTATATTTAGCCAATCCCCAATTAGTTGGCATCTGCTTTATTTCTGGTTCTTTGCTACTGCTAAAGTACTGCTTTTAAGTATCTTGGTCTGTATAAGACCTTACTGTCAGACTTCTTTGAGATACATACTTAGCAGTGGGTTCTAGGGTTCAGCATTTTAGTCTGTTTCTCTCAGCATGATTGCACATTTTTGCTCCTAATTTTTTAAAAATAACTCAGTTTTTTGTAATTTAACCTTTAATTTGCCAGAAAGTAGCTTTTCCAATCTCGGAGGCATCATGATAGAAGGAAAGAACAATGAACTAGGAATTCATGCTGAGTTCTAATTTCAGGTCTGCAGCTGTGACTTTGGGCAAGTCACTTCTCTGGTAAAGTGAGGTTTCCTCATTTTTTCTAATATGAGAAGTGAGGAATTTGGTTATGATTCTACACAAGAAGAAGGAAATCTATTTTATACATGAAACATTTTGGATGAAGGAATGTTTTCCCTTAATGCTAGAAGAACCAGCTGTGTCAGTTGAAGCAATTATTTTATTATAATTTTGCTTACTTTGCTATCTCTATTTTCTTTGTATTATGAATAAAAAAAATTCACTGTGTCAGTTGACGCTGCTTGGTTCTTTGAACTATTCTTAAATTCTGGTCCTGTTAACAAAATTTGGCAACCTAACAAATATAAAACACTTGATTATGTACCATAAAATAGTCATATACATGTTTAAATGATTATCTTCAAAAACTAAATAAGTAACTTTATTACTGTAGTCAAATCAACAAGTACCTACTATATGCCAGGCACTGTTTCTGAGTCCTGAGTATATAAGGAAAGGCAAAAACAATCCTTCCACTTCAAGGAGTTTATGATCTAGTAAGGGAGGCAACACACGAACAGCTGTGTACAAACGAGATATTTAGGATAAGTTGGAAAAATATCTCAGAGGGAAGACACTTGAATTAAGGGGACTGGAAAAGGCTTCTTGCAAGAATGAGTAATTTTAGTGAAGACTTCAGTGAAGCCAGGAGGTTGTAAAGAGGTAGACAGTTCCAGACTTGGGGAGAAGTCCGTGAAAATGTAGAGAGTCAGGAAATGATGTCCTTCACCTATGTTGTAGAAGTGTTGAAAGAGAGAAGACCTAATGAAAGAATCAACAGGTCTTGGCAACAGATTGAATGGGGGGCAGTGGGGGGAGGGAGGTGTATATGGTGTGTGAGAGAAACTATGCCTAGTGTAGTTTCGGAGTGTGTGATTGGGAGCATGGTTGTACCCCTGATTGTAATAGGAAATTAGGAAGAGGGAAGGGTTGGGAGGGAAGATAATGCATTCAGTTTTAGATATGACTACTGGACATCCAGTTCAGGATATCCAAGAGGCTGTAGCTTTAGGTAGAGCGACTTATTTAACAAGTATCAATTAAGCAAAGTACAGTGCTAGGCAGTGGAGATACAAGGACAAAGTAAGCAACAGTCCCTATCCCCAAGGAGCTTCCACTCTTGAGGTATGTGTTTATGCGTGACTACATACAACATGTACATATTTAAGTAAAAGAAGATAATTTGAGGAGAAGGAGAAGGCATTAACAATAAGTATCAGGAAAATGTTGGGTGGCACTTGAGCTTAACTTTTGAAAGAACCTAAGTATTCCAAGAGGTGGAGGTGGAGGAATATATTCAAGGCATGTAAGAGAGCAGCCTGTGCAAAGGCATGGGGTAGGAGTTGAAGTGGACAGGAGTAAGCCAGCCTATTTGGGCAGTAACAGGCTATGTGAAGAGGAGTGATGTGGAATAAGCACACCAAGATAGGGTTACTATACATTTCAAGCCAAGAAATGCATATTTTATCTCAGAGACTATCCCAAGCTATAGAAGCATTCTTGAGGAGGAAAATGATGCTATCTAAAAAGAATCTGAACTATACAGTGCCTCTTCTTTTACTCTTTTGGGTTCACCTTTTTATGTTTGATGCTTTTGGTATTTTATACCTCTGTCATTTGCCAATATCCCACCCTCCTTTATAGCAAAGAACAAACAGTTAAGCCAAAAACACTTACCTAAAAGTATCAGTCTCATAATTATTTTTCTTAGAACAAAGTTTAGACGTTGTACATTATCTGATATCTCATGTGTCTTAATGCTTTCATTTAGTCATTGGGTAGACTGTTCTGAGTTAGCTTTCTTACTCTTACCATCATTTCATACAAGTCTTCCCACTTTCTCTGAATTTCTTATATACTTTGGCTTCACTCTTAGAAAAATGTTCCCTTTTTATTGATAACCTTGTTTTTATATCACTTTCATTTCTGAATATAATCATTCTCTCTCATGGCTTACATCTTTAGGAATTTGATCCTCACTGCCTCATAGTTTTGTGACTATCATAATTGCATTTATGATCACCAAAAAGCCACTTGACTGCTATAGCCCCAGCAACATTCTAATGTAAACATTAGAATTCCTGAAGAGATATAGAAGTAGCATGTGAAAGAGCCACATGATGTCTGAAAAGTTTTGATTGTCTTTGATTCCAGATACTCGTCAATGCGTTTTTTTTTAATTGGGTGTACTCAGATCACCTCTTTGCTTCCAGAAGTTCATCCAAGAAACTGCAGTCATAATTAACATTTCTTTTGTACGTATTCAGGATCAAGATTTAGAGTTGGACCTTAAGAGATCATCTAGTTCAATCCTCTTTTTGGTAGTAATGACTTTATAGTGGTTAGAAGTAGGGTTGAAAGCTGCTTAACTAAATCCTTTGCTGGTTTTAATTTTACTCCTCTAAATAACCTATGATTGCGTCGGGTCTTTTCTTTGAGGAGGTAACAAATCCATTCTCATAGTGCCTAGCATATGCTAGCTATCAAATACTTAAAATTCAGTTGCAGCATTTCAAAATTAAGTTTAGTATGGCTTAAGGGAAATGATGTAAGATAAGAGAGGTTTAGGAAATGATTGTCTTAGAAATAAGCTGTATCTTATAAAAGAGGCAGTGTTTACATAGCTGTAGGAATAGCTTTTCCAAATTGATGCAGAGCTATAGGGATTGTAAACTAAACTTGAAAAATGTCAAAAACAAGTTAGTCTAAGACCATTCTTTATTTTTCCCTTCTGTTCCCCAATTTCATTTTTAGAAACTGAAAACTTTCCTTTGCTTACTTGATGTGCTTCTAAGAGCCTATGCTTCTTTTAATGATCTTGTGCATTTTTTGAATATTTTAGAATTTTTCTGACATTGTACTTTAAGCAATTAAATGTGAAAGCATCTGATATAAATGTTAAATTCACAGCATTACTTAGTACATATAATAGCCTTGGGACTTCTGTCATTCAAATTATATGGAGTTGTTATGACTTGCTTATGTTTAAAAAAGAGAAAATTGGGAGGAGAGACATTTTTGTGACATCAGTGGTCCAAGATAACAAATAGATGTACTTGCAAAGC